GGCTAATTTATGCAGAGTAATTTTTAGACGACAGCGCATATTAATTGTCAGATCCTCGGGCGGCGGCGGCGAGAAATACGGGTAGGCATTTATCGTCATTAACGGAGTTTATTTTGAAGCTCGTGCGCGCATAGATTGTGCTGCGAGATACTTTTACGTCGTGTAGGCAAATGTCTTCCGTTCCATTTCTCGAAGGAGCGGTGCTATATAAGTGCCTTTGCAAAACTGACTAATGTTGAAAGATATTATTGCAGAAGATTTATCTGCTGGAGAAAATCTGTTCTTCTTGGCGTTAAGGCGTATCTGCTATAAAAGCAAGTGACATTCCGTGCCTCGATTTACATCGATGTAGCCTTCGTGCTGCCGTGAACCTTTGCGCCCGACATTTGGATCCATTTAAAAACTGTTGGATGATACGACTGAGAATAGATTGCTCGCAATGACTTATGTATTGAGATCTAACTGGCAGATGGAATAAAGGCCAACACTGCATTCCCATGCCCATACTTGCGAAGCATAAAAACTATGCCGCGCGGAATAGCTTTAAGCAAATTTCAATAGAGACGGTCATGAAATTGATTTCAAATTCAAAATATGTCGAAACGCAAACGAGCCGAGGATATATCCGGAAAGTAAAAGATGCTCGGCGCAGTAACGTTAGATGCAAAGCGATGCGCCCGGGGCACGGGCAACTACTAGTTTATCATCCAAGGTGCAGGCCATAATATGATATTTCATAGTTGTAGGTCATGAAGCATCTTTGAAGCTGAAGGCCTGCCTGAATCACTTGGCGCGATGGCCAGTTTCCCGAGATTGTTGTTTGAGTAAGAGCTGAAACAGTATAACGAAGAGTATACGGGTGTTGAAACTAACAGTAATAGAAATTTACTCACAACAATGAAAACTGACTGGTCACGCTGGAGCGCGGCGCAAATCTGCTGCCGGCAGTGGGGCTGGAGAGCCGCTCGAAAAACGAGCGCAAGTCGGCTCGGCTAGACTCGCGCGAGCGATCCTAATGAAGTTCTTATCGAGCGAGTTGCCAAGGCCTATCGGCTGCGATCGACGCGTCGGCCTGCTCGGCCCGGGAATGCACCACTCGTCGCGTGGTCGTCGCGCCTTTACGCGACGCGCCAAGAGGAAGAGGAGGACGCTGAGGACGAGGAGGAGGACGAGGAGGACGGGGAGGACGAGGAGGACGAGGAGGACGAGGAGGACGGGGACCGCTACGCGAAGCCCGACACGTGTAAACTGGCGGAGGGGCGCCAACGTGACTCACGACCCAGGGCCAAGCCAGCGGCAGCGCCTACTCCCGCGGGCCAGATTTTTCCGAGCCCCGGCGACCAACTAACTCTCCTGCAGCCTGCTCATGAGTGCTATCGAGTAGCGAGCGTGCGCGATATGCATCTCCACGATTAGAGGCGGCCCAGCTCGTTTGCCGCTAACAGAGACTTTGCTGCGGGGTGCGAGAGAGCGAGAGAGCGAGAGAGCGAGAGAGCACGGGAGCGAGAGATAATGACCGTGCGCCGCCGCGCACGCTTGTCGTTGCCCACCGCATTGAGAGGCCGCGCCGCACGTGACAATCGCGGCAAGGCGCCGCCGCCATCGGCCGATCGGCAAATCGATTAACGAGACGACGATGGCTCGATAATTGATTCAGCGGAGGGCGCACTGCCGAAATGCTCGGACAGCCGGCGCGGCTAACGACCCGACACTGCTTGTCGCTGGAATCGCGAAAATTCTCACGAGAATCGACGAGGCAACAAATAGCGCGCCCAATTAATCGGCGACGACGGGACGACGTCGAGGCGGGAGGCGCGAAGCGAGCCAGGGACGCGTTGCTCGTTAGAGAAAGGCCCGGACGAGCGAGCGAGCGAGCGCAGGCCAACGTGGTCGAAGAATGGCGCTTGCCAAGCTACACAAAGAAGGTGCTCGTAGCCGGCGATGATGCATCGCGCTCAAACGCGGCGTCGGCCTGTCGGCGTAATTAGAAGCTCGGGCAAGGCGCACCGGGAGCGTTAGTAAAATCTTTGGCGGCCGTAAATATCTCGTGCTGGCGCGCGCTCAACATCCGCGTACGCGTCCCGTCGGTAATGCATCTCGATTCGCCGTTCTCCATCGCCCGCGCCCACGAAGATCGCTCGGCACTCGGCGCCAAATTACGCCCGAGCGGCTAGGCTAAGTAAGTGCTCCGAAGGGCCTCGGCCTCTGGCAACGCAAAGTCGTGCGCCCAGGCGGAGGCGCGGAGGGGAGCAACGAGCCGGGCCGCGTCATGTGCATCGTGCTCGCTCGTCATTGCGTCGTTGCGCCGACTGTGAACAAAGCGGCGCTTTCGCTGCGCTGCAACGGAGTCGGCAACGGAGCCGCCGGCCCTCGCGGTTGCCTGGCCAGCTGCGGATCGGCGAGTGCTCGGCCGTCTCTCAGTCAGCGTAGGCGCGTTTGGCCGACGTAAATGTGTGCCGGACAAGGGCACTCGCTGACGTAATGTGGCTCGACTGGAGTGCGCTCTCCGTGTCCGCTCGAAGCCGCCTCTCGCGTCTCACTCTCTCGCAAAATGCTGCATTGTATTCCCGTCCCGTCCCGTCTCCGTCGGCGTCTTCTATGAGCCGCGCTGTCAGCTATCAATTACAGATAATACATCGACGCTTTTGCTGTTGTTTTAGCGAAAGTAGTTTCACTCTTGAAGAAAAATAAGGAGAGCGTGAACGGCGAGTAGCGCGTCTGAATAAATTAGATGTTTGGATATAATTAATGAGCCGAGCTGGCCGTGCGAGAGATTGCAATCGCGGAATCAGTCGAGTTCGTAATCACTTTCGATGTGCGTCACGCGACGCGGCGCAACGGTTATTAACGAGCTATAGCCTCGGCGCGCACGATAATGCACAGCTACGCCGAGATTCTGTAACTGAAATTAATTCACGGCCGCGCGCACTGACGGCTAGAGCCAGTTCCATCGGCGTGGAAGCGAGTTTCCGTCAGTTTGAGTTAGAGCGCGCGCGCGCGCACGCCGAGAGCAAGAAAAACCGATGTGGCGCAGTGTGTAGTCGCGGCTGAATTGAAGGACGATCGTCAGCGGCGGATTAATTTCACGTGGCCTTGTTTTCTGCGGCGGCTCCTAACGGAACCCTATGGTTTATCCAAGAAGCTGTGCATTGCGGTACACAGCCTGTTTAATAATAAACAGAGCCGGGCGCGGGGCAGCTGTTGCTCCGCTTCATCTCCGTGGATGTGATTTCTGGCGCTGCGCCGACCGAGCGCTCGGTTTTACGCGCCAGGCGGCCCAGGCGTTCCGCAATTAATAATCCGCAATAATCGGCAATGAACGTCAGCCCGGCGCGCACTAAGGAGAGCAGGACAAGCCCGAGACAGCGCCAGCGCCCGAGATACGTTTCTCTGTGACGGCGCGGCGCGAGCGCGCGAGCACGCGAGCGGCAAAAAGGTGTGCGCGCATATGAGGCGCCTTGTTCCAGCGCTCATGCTTTTTGCAGATTTAATAGCTGTATCCTACTTTCTTAGTGATAATCAATCCTTTTGCGCTCGCAGCCTCATCGCTCTCAGCTCTCCGGTTATTCTTCGTTTTTTCCTGCTCGCGGCTTTACCAGAGTAATAACCTGTCACTCTTTTTTCTCTCTTCACTCTGTTTCTTTCATTGCTCTCCCCGCTCCTCTCTCTCACTCTCTCTCTCTCTCTCTCTCTCTCTCTCTCTCTCTCTCTCTCTCTCTTGGCTATCTACTTCGCACTACTTATCATACAACCTTTGTACTGTTATAATACAATAACAACGGTTTCTTCCAATTGTTTTTCATTAATTATCCATACACCACTTATACATATCATAGGTTTCGCCCCCCCCCCCCCGCTCCTCTGATATTGCTGCGAGAGCTGTTTGGGTAAAAAACTGACTGTACTAAGCTCTCCCCTCTCATTTGCGATCTTCCAGATTTATCTCTCCGACGATGTGCTGCTGATGATTTGATTTCTTTCTTTGTTCGCAGTGTAATTACTCACCTAGAGATTTGAAAAGGAACCGGCATATGTAATGTTTGAACTGGATTTGAGTCTATCGGGCCTTATCGGTCGGGCGACAATGCCCTTCTTTCGTTTGATACGTGTGAAACTCGTCTGCAATTAATTGGCGAAGCAATTAATCATTGTTTTACTCGGCTGCGAGGCGCAGTCGAGGCTACTACGGTACGTTCGTCGAAAGCTTTCGAGTTGTCCGCACAGCACTACAGCTTACTAATGCGACACGCGCTATCCAGTCGATCACAGGCTATGGAAGATGGATGCTAGACAGCCGAAGGCTCGATCGACTCGCAGCACGTTAATTTTCCGACAAAGTGCCTACAGCTGCTGCGAGCGAACGCTAATCAAGTCATTGGCGCGTGCCTCATTTGTCGGTCGAGACGGGCGCGCGAGAGAAGACGAAGAAGGACGGGGCAAAAAGGAAGAGCGCGAGCGGAGCTTTCGCGCATAATCGATGGCCGGCACAGAGGGCCCACGTAATGGTCATGGGCAAGAGCGAAGGCCGATCGCTGTGTCGATTGTGCCGTTCCGTCCGTCTGTCTCTTTCTCCGATGGAGCGTTCGAGGCTCGCGGGCTCGCTCGTCGCGCTGGACGCGAGCGAGCGCGGTCGCCAGCAGTCGTGGCGCGGCCGATGCTCTTATTTTCGTTGAAGCGTTGACGCCGGTCGCCTCGCTCGCGGGGCCTACCGTTACGGGCTGCCTTTTCTCGCGGCCTACGCGCGTCCGCCGCTCGGCTGGCTTGCTGCGCCTCTGCGGCCATTGGCTGGGCTTCGATCAGCGCTCGATAAACCAATATTCGCTGTGTAGCACTCTCCGCCCTCCGCGCCACGTTGGTGCCTCGTTGCCACCTGCGAGGTTCGATCGCATTGATCGTCCATCGAAAGCGGCGAATGTCGAGTGCCTCAGGGCTCATGGGAGACTGCGCGTCTCCATTTGTCGAAACGGCCTCGCTCAAGCTTCATCGTCTGTCTGTTGCAGATTCATCGTCGTCTGGATGCTGGCGGCACTTTCGACAATGTCACGGGTGAGTTGCCGCGGCGCTGCTGGCCTGGAGGTTTTGCGCAGCTGCGAGCCGAGAGAGACGCGGATTCGCCGATCGCGCGCCACGCCGCGCCACGCCGCGCCTCCCTTAATTACTGTGCTCTGCACGCCAGAGCAGTGGAGATTGCTAGATTCCCTCGGTGCTCCGCCAGCTCAATCGATTTATTTGTTATTGTTGCTTCGGCCGTGAGCTCGCTTGCCTCGGTTCTGTTGCGCGCGCGCGCTTAGAAAATGCTATGTAATTTTTCGATCGTCTTCTATTTTTCGCGATCGGCCAATAGCTCGCTTCGTAATTCCTCAAATATAACTGGATATGTAAATTTATCTTTCAATATTAATCTTGCGGAGCAGCCGAGCCGTGCGATGCTAAAAATATCGCGGAGCCGAGAACTCGTTGCAGCCGAGGAGTATGTGTGCTCTGGGCAGCGAGCGAAAGATTTTTATTAAGCGATAGAGCCAGACTCATAATTAACTCATTAATACGGTATATTGAAATTGTAAATCGCCATGCAAGCCGCTCGCGAGCGCGAGGTTCCTGCCAATTGCGCCGGATAGCGCGCGGCGCTTCTCGAAAAATTTTCGCGCGTCAGAACCGGTAATGTCGATAATGCAGCTGCGCAAGAGCGATCCATTACGCGGCGTGGCTCGGATCTCCGCGAAACCAAGTGGACCCGCGGACGACTCGATGGCTCGCGCGACGCTCGTGTAACGCTCGGATTCGTGAGTGCAGGCGGCGAGCGCCGAGAACGCCGAGCTCGAGTCGGCGGCCGAGGAGTCGTCGATGGAGGACGCCACGGAGGACTACTGGGCTAGCAGCGGCACGGGCCCGGACGACGACGACGCGGCGGCGGCGGCGGCGGCGGCTCGCAACGACACCAAGGAGGCCCTCGCGCACGAGGCCAGTGACCACGAGGCGGTAAGTCCCAACTGAAACTGCGCCGGGCTGTGCTGCGCTCGCGAGCTTTTCGGCGTCGGCGGCGCTCGCGGACAACGGGAGATCGATCGAAGCGATCCTCGCGTCCGAGATAAAGTCATCTTGGAGGCGTGCGTGCCGGTCTGCAGAATGAAAGAGCCGTATGTGCCAATTGCCACACCGAGTGCTTTTATCGCGTGCCAAGTTGCTGCAAGTACTTCCCCATTCTGTCCGTATCTCTGCGAGCGCTGGATCAATTTTCCTCCAGCGAATTATTCCGCTCGTTCGCGGCATAAAGAGGCTTAAGACGTCGATAGAAGCTCGCAAAAGGCTGCTGTTATTGGCGCGCTGATGGCTCGATTACTAAACGACGGAAAATCTTCCGGCTAGGTGCGTCGGATTAATTTGGGAGCATCGACACGTTAGTGAGCGCACGCGCGCGCGCGCGCGCGCATCCGCATAGCTTTCGAGGAGGCCCTGATTTTCTCGGCTCTCGCGGAAAGCCAACACCATAAGGATGATTACAAAAGTGCGCTAGCGCGAGCGGCCTGTGAGAAGTGCGGCTCGCACATGCGCGAAAATTATGTAGAAAAAGAGACGGGGGGGTCCGCGCTCGCGCATCTCGCAGCAAAAAAGAGAATGATCGTACGTGACGGAATGATATATGGGAAAAGCGATAACCAGTCGCGGCCGTGTGTCTATGAAAAACGCCACAACAAGCTCGAGGGTAATTTGTTCGTTCGTGGACGCGCTGCGCGCGAGCGAGCCGTGAGTGCGATTTCGAGGATCAAGGATGAGCGCGAAGTGGGATGGCGATAAGCGGCCGGCCGCAGACGCATAATGAGCCAAATAAAGCCGAGTGATAAAGTCGCGATACGTTGCTCGGAAGCAGTTGCTACGGAGGCGGCAATAACTCAAACATCAATAGGCTGCATCCCCGGCAGAAGAAGCGCGAGGTAATTGGAGTGCGTACGTTGCGAGCGGCAAAGCGCAGCCGGGCGAGATGGAGAAACGCAGCGGAGGAGGGCAGACCGGGGGCTTGCGCCCGCTCTAATGGCTCGCTCGCGCTATCAATGGGATTCCGCGGCGCGATAGGGATCGGCCAGGCTTATTAGCCAATTTGCTTCTCGGGCTTCGTTATCGCGGGGCGCGACTGTCGGGGCCCCGAGCGCCGGGGGCACCCGCGGGCCTTATCTAATCGCGAGCAGGCCGGCGTCGCCCGGCAGCTCGCGGCCGTGACGAGTCCGCATTGTTAACGCCGGATATTGTCCGGGCGTCAGTTTAACGAACCACTCAATTATCCGCGCGCTGCCCTTACCCTCGTCTTCCGAGGCAGCGTCGGTAACGAGTGGCTGCTTCGGCGCGCTCGCAGCGCAACGGCTACTTTCGTCGGGTGCGCGCGTGCCTCCCACTGGTCTAGTTTCCACGGCTGATAAGCTCGCCCACGGAACCCGAACGAAGAGGAGGCGTGCGCCGAGTTGGCTCGATCGCCGAGTTGGTTACGACAATGGCACCGTTGCTTGAAAAATTGCGAGCAGAGGGCTGCTGGAGCCGCTGACCTGGGCGCAGAGCCAACTGTGCGCGCGTTCCGCTCTCGCGGCGCGCACTGGAATTCAGTTGGCTAACGAGTAGCGACAGGCCGCCCCCCGCGACGTTCGCGGCGCTTAATCATCGGCGAGCAGCCTAATTGACACCTGGCGAAAGTCGCACGGCGCGCCTCGGCTCCGTTCGTTCGTTCGTTTCGGAGAGAGGCATCGCCTGGAGTAATCACAGGTCTGTTTGTTTGCGCGAGGGGCAAAGTTATATGCGCCGGCGGCGAGGGCAGTTTGGATCGGCCGGCTGGACCGTTAGCTCATCTGCTCGCAGCCCGGAAAGGCTTTGTGGCCGATCGTGTGCATCGGCTTGTTTATCGCGCGCCACACGCTGAAAACATCTGGTTCGCCCTTGCGAATCATCCGCTTATTTACACTCGCATAAATACAGCGAGCCGGCCGCGCGCACTCGCTCTTCGGCTTCGCGGCCGCGCCAACAGTTTGTCATGATTCAGTAAACAGTCGTCCCTGCTCGACTGTCCGTGTCGGGGTAACGGTGCAGCCGCTGCAAGCTCCAATTTTTCGATCTGGCTGGGAGCGCTGCAGCGAGAGAAAAGAAGCCAGAAGCCGAGACGAGCAGCAGGCGCTTTCGGAGAAACCGATAGAGAGCCTCTTGATAAACCCGTCCCGTGCATCGGCTTCCGGATGCTTAGCGCGATGCGCATATTCATCGGCTCTAATTAAGCTTGCTTAATAACCCGACGGCTGAATTAATTTGACTTTTAAATCGGCCTCGAGCCGCTCTCGCGCGATAATTCACTTATGAAAGATCGCGCCCGGTCGCCCGTAAGCTATTGTTGCGATCGCTCGCGCGCAAACACCTCCGTCGTCGCCGAGGAGAGAACAAAAGCACTCGAGTATGACTTGGCATTGCGGAATGCGCAAGGCGCTTGTTAATAGCTTTATCAGGGAGTAGGAGGCATCGGCAGGACGAAGAAAACGATTAGAGCCGATGAGGAGGTAAACGTGACGAGCCTCTCTGCACGAGCCGGACTCTCTTCCTGCGCTGGCTGCCGCTGGCTGCCGCTCGCTGCCGCGCGCTGCCTTGGCAAGGACTCTCCGCGAACGGATCCCAGCGCGCGGTTTCGCTTTTCTATCACGAACAAGCTGGGGCACGTCGTTAGGCCTAAACTTTCAAATGAGTCTAATTAGCGCGCTTACGCCTGACTTGAAAACTGGCCGCGCGCGGCCATCGTTAGCCCTTATCTTGCTTCGTGCGATCCATATACCCGCGTCCTTCAACTGCGCGCTCGCGTTCGAGCGACAATGCGCGTGCGGCTCCGAATCGCCAAAGTCCCTTGCCAATAAAATCAAGCGGAGGGCTGTCAATCGCGAGAGCATCGAGCGAAGCTGGCTTTAATCGGATCGGAGCCGATCAAGCGGCCGATTCGCAGGATGTGCTCGTAGCTTACTCGCTTACCCGCGTTAACGACGTATCGCGCAGGCGTGTGCTTTCAGGGCCTCTTGCGCAATGCGATCAACATGGCAGGCACGCGCCCGCTGGGCCGAGGTCGCCCGTGATCCGGGCGAGCTTGTCGCTGTCTTGCGCGGGCCGGCGCAAAAACCGAGCAGAGCGGAAACGATTCTATCGCGTTAACGCGCTGCTCGCTCGCGAGGGAGAGAGAAAAAAAGTGAAAAGAAGAAGCGCGGGGAAAAAAAGTCGGAGTGATGCGCGTGCAGCAATCACGCCGAGCGGCCGATGTTCGCGTGTGTAGCGGCCGATCGCAAGCATGCGGAAGTGCGCGTACACGCGCGCTCCACGGGCTTGGAGAGCGCCGGCCAAGCTTTTTGCATTTCTCACTCGGGCTCTCGCGTTCGTTTCGCGCCCGTCCTTCACCCAGCTCTTCTTTCTCCTGCTCCGCTGCGTCGGCCCCTCGTCTTTTTGCCGGGCGCGCGCCTGTCGCACGCGCGAGCCAGTCGGGCGCTCGACAGTCGACATCGCTACTTGGCGCGGATGCCCTGCACCTGCGCGCAATTCAAATTATTGAAATATCTCGGGGCAAGAAGTGGCTGCTTCGCGGTTGTTTGGCGCGCCGAAAAAACAGCCGAGTATTGGCGGGCGCCGATTGTACAGCGTCACGCGATGCGCCCCGAGTGTTTATAATCTTGAATCTTGCTCTTTCACGTCGAGGTGTGCTCGGGCTTTTTCCGCGCGTCCGCGAGCGAGCCAAGCCGAGCGGGGCAAAAAAGAGTGGCAGTTTTCGCGCAGTCAGCCGACAATGGCTCGCGCGAAGCTGATGTACGAATGCACGTGAGCGAGCGAGCGAGCAAGGGAAATAGACTCGTAAATGGTTTGTCACGCGCCGCCGAGTCGTGCGGCAGGTTTTTCCAGGCGCGCGCGCGCCCGTCGCTTCTTTGCAAGCTATTACGATTTTTGAGGGAGCCTGCTGCCTCTTCTGCTCCTCGCTCTTCCTCTTGCTCCGCTCGCCGCAGCCCTCCCCCTCGCTTTTCTTCACATGTGCGCGAGCGCCAGCGCCTTAATGGGTGTAATGCGCGCGCGCGCGCGCGCGCGTGAGCAGCCTCGCCAAGTAACAAAGAGCGGCCTAATAAGAAAAATGAGCGAGCGGCATCCGCGGCCTGATGCGCTGACGGCCGAGGGCCGCGCTCGCAGCCGGAGAGAGGGAGAGAGTGCAAGTGCATTAGCCAGAAAAGAAAAACGATGAGAGAGAGAGAGAGAGAGAGAGAGAGAGATAGCGAGCGCGCCGCAAGAGAGCGAAACGGAGCGAAAGAGAGAAATAGCAGAGTGGCGGCGGCGCGGACGTCGCTGCTCCAGCGCTCGACGTGGGAGAGGTCAGTCAGCTCCGAGAAAGTAAACGCTCTAATCTCGCTCTCCGGCTCGCGGTGCTTCGACCTCGCTCGTCGGGCCGATTCGCACGGGCGCCGTGGATTCTCGCGCCGTGGACGAGCGCTGCTACCGGCAGCCGGACGCGTCTCGCCGTCGTCGCCGAGCGCGCCGAGCAAACTCACGTGTCCGCAGCCGGTGCGCCTCCGACTGCTGGGCGACTGCGCCGCGCATCAACCGAGTTAATGAGTTAGAACGAAACGAAGCCCATTCGCGATAGCAGCGCTTATTATTAATTAGACGGCATGTACTGGCCGCAGCGTACAATTACTTAGCCGGCTAATCACTCAACGCTGCTCCGCTGGCTCTCTCATCAATCATGTCGATCTAAACAACGTCCAACTCTAATAACACATTTCAATCAAAGCTTCCACTCTCGCCCTCTCTCGCTCTCCCGATATCAACTGTCGGATACTCGGGACTGGTCGCCCGGCCGACGAGTGAATCCGTATCGCTGCATAACGTAGCTATGCAGCGTATAATTAATAGCGGAGAGAATAGACGCGCCGTGAGTATTTGAAATTGGCGATGGAGGCAGCCGCCGCGGTGGTCGGCTAGGTCGGCTAACGAGCCGATCGATCAATCGGCCGATCGATCGCGTCTCGCAGCGCTTTTCCACGGAAAGCGAGGGTGGAGGAAGGCTGCCATTAGCCGGAGTAAGAGGCCGCGGCGCGCGACTAACGAGTGCGCTCACGCAGGGCTTGCTTGTGTGCTGCAGGTGGTGTACGTGGGCGAGAACGGCGGAGGCGGCGCGGCCTACGTGCCGGTGCCCTCGCTCAAGAGCCGGCCGCTCAGCAGCCCGAACCTGCAGGCGCTGCAGACGCTGCAAGGACTGCAGGCGCTGTCCGGCGGCTCGGCGTCGCCCGCCGCCACGGGCACCGGCCTCGCCACCGAGGAGGACTGGCGGCGGCACCCCGAGTCCTGGGACCGCGAGCACCGCCGCTACAGGCCCAACACCACCAGGGTGCAGCGTGAGTATCCGCCCCGCGCGTCGGCACAGCCGTGCATAGTGCGGCGTAATGCGGCGCGATGCGGCGCGATGCCGCAAAGGGCCCGCGGGCCCTTTGTCCTTGGCGCGCCGAGAACACACTCGCCGCGTGTCATTTACCTCCGCGTCCCGTTTAGCCGCGTCCGTTCAATTTTCAGCGGCTCTGCCTGTCGCTTCTTTTGGCCGTCCACCTTGTCCGTGCCACCATCTCGTTTTCACCGACGTTCGCGCTGCCTGGCCCGATGCCGATCCGGCCAATCCTACCTATCGGCCGATTCGCCTGCGAGCGCGACATTTTTGCGGCTAATTGACGTTTACGGCAACGAATAAACAGTCCTGGCGATCCAATCGCCTTCGGTTTTCGCCGGGTTTCGCCACCGACGTTATTACCGCCGCATGTCTTGTACTGCATCGGCCAGAGCCTTATCATTATAAACTCGCTAAATGTGCAAAACAAGCAGGAGAAAGAGTCTTACTGGCGATAGACCCGTTACAAACAGGATATCCATTGTCGATATTACATATCGAATTATACGCCGAGTGCATTATGATATAGTCAGATGCTCGTTAGACATTCGCAAAAAGTCCAATTGAAACGCGGCTTGTTCGGGTACGTGCACTTTTGCTCGCAACGCTTCCGAAAGATTTTTCCCAAATTCACCGTGGGACAATGTGAACGCGAGTGGGATTCGCATCCTCGTGAAATCTCTGCAAACTCACAATTTCCAATCAAAACCTAATGTTTGATAACAGCAAACGCGTCTAAGTGCAAAAACTGAGAGCACAGAAAGAGCAAAATGAGCGAGCGTGAGTCATCACTAACATCCCGATTCTATGCGAAATGAAGTGAGTTTCGTCAGACGACGCTGTGTCTGGCGCATATTTACATTGACGTAGTGCAAAGTCAGCGCGCAATCAAAGTTTCGCGTTATTTTAATATTTACCTCGTGTGCCTTTTTTTATCAAAGCGCCGCAGCTCTTGGCCGATCATTAAACGTTCATCTGGAAAGGAATGTGCTCCAGCGCGGTTATTGAATTTTTCACGGACGTTTCCTGCGATCCATTCACCATTGAAATGCAAAATCGCAGCCAACAGCGTAAAATAAATGAATTTAATACTAATACATTCGCTTGAGCATCATTAATCCGAATGGAAGAGCGAGTTAAAGAGACCAAATGGCATAGTGCGCGCCTCGCCAACCGGTCCTACAAATATAGAAGCTGTGCGTGGTTGGTGGTAATGACTGTGTGTACCCTGATTGGTTTGGCTTCGCGATATGCGCTGGGCGGCAGACCGACCACGGGATGAGACGTCATTCGGTCGTCACTCTCGGCGAAATTCCGGAGGTGTGCGCTGCGCGATAGAGAGCGGCTGCTGTGACGTAGCAGCAGCACCAGTAGCGGCTCGGCTCCCGTTACTCCGGCAATTAAAACTGTGTCGGAAGTCGTACGGACGAGAGCCGCGTTGTAGAGCAGGAGAAGGACGAGCACGCGGCCGCCGCTCGGTGGCCATCGCCATCGTCGCCATCGTCGCCATCATCGCCATCATCGCCATCGTCGCCATCATCGTCATCATCGTCATCATCCGTCATCAACTTCATTATCGTCGTCGGTCGCTCGCGCGGAATCGGCAATGGAGCTCGGCGCTGCTAGCAGCCGACCGAGCGCACGAGTGCCAAGCAACAGCCGCGATCCGAAGCTTAATTACGAAACTGCTTGTCTCGCTTCACAACCCTGCACCAGCTATCGTAGCTTTATGCGCAGCTGCCAGCGTCATTGTTTATTTGGAATAATTTCAAGGATCCGCGCTTGCCGAAGCTTCGCCGGGGCGTTGTCAGTACGCCATTGCGAAATTAGGCGCGGCGAGATCGAATCGAGGTTGCGGCCGCACGCTAACGAAACGATCTTTAATCTTTTCCTTTTTGCCGTGGCCTTTTTTGTTACTATACGCATCTTCGCGTGCAATTGCCAAGCAGTTAATGGCTTTTCATTTGCTAAGTAGTGAAAGTGGAAATGATGCAAGCATTATACTCATGATGAAAAGCCAGCTAGGGCGAACCAGCAAGCGAGCGCGCACGCGTCTCATTGTATTCTAATTGAAGCAGAGAAGGCTAGGCAAACATATGATTTTGCACTTTTTCACGCTGAACTTGCTGCTCGTGTCATTCGCATTTGCAGAAATTGAAGGTAATCGTGAAATAGTAGTGTGGCACGCTCGGCAATGTTAGTAGTCGGAAGCTGCTGAGGCTGTTTCGTGGTACGTATGGTTATCTCGTCAGGGCGCAAAGAAAAAGTGGAGAGAGAGGGAGAGAGGCAGCCGGCGCGCCGATGCGAATATCGTAAACTCTTCCGCGCCGCGCGAGTTCAATGAAGTCGTAAAGCCGGCTGCCAGGCCGCAGCTCGCGGCTCCATGGGCAACAGGATGGCCAAGTAGTCCCATGAGCGACCGTTAAATTATCGATTCCGGCTCTCTGCCGACTATGTGCCCCGGCTTCTTATTATTTCCCGGCAGCGCGCGCATTCACTTTTCCCTGTATTAGCAGTGCCTTTGAACCTTCGTTCACTGATTGGCCGCTGCTGCCGAACTCGCCGACCGTGAGTCGATGATCGCCGCTCCATTAATCGCGAGCAGAGACGGCTGAGAAAGAGTCGCGGAATCGTCGGACCTCTAATCGCGATAAGAAAAGTCAAGCGTGGCGGTGTGACTCGCGGCTGCCAAGGATAGGTCTCGGGCCAAACGCAACCGACGGAAATCTCTGGAGGGAGCGAGCAGCTCACGGCGCGCGGGCTGGCGAAAGAACAGCGCCAGGCGAGCATCGGCCGCGGACGGCTCTGGATACAAATAAAAAGTCGGCGAGGACGCGTTGCGCAACGCTGCGGCGGGCGTTGCGTGGCGCGCGGTGCGTGCACGCACGCCAGAAGCCTTTTGTCGGGCAACCGACACAAAGAGAGACAAAGGGGGAGAGAGAGAGAGAGAGAGAGCGGGAGCGCCAATGAGCCCGGGGCGCTAGTGGCATTGGGGAGCGCGATAACGAAGCACGTTGTTGTATCATCGGCAGCGCTGTGGCGCGAGTAGCAGCCAGTGTGACTATCGGCCGGCCCATCGCATATAGCGCCGCTGCCGCCGCTGCCTTACCACAAAGAGCAGCCCGCCAAAGACTTTCACTCGTCATCCCTCGGCGGATACCTCTTGCGGCCGAGGCTGCGCGCCCGCGGCTACTCGACTCGACCAGCCAGCCAGTCGTCGTCCCGGCTCGACAATTCTGGCAGCGATGACTCTTTTATTCCCCCGTTTGCGAGTTTCCACTGTTTCGTCAGCCATACATGCTTCGAGGATTCCGATTGTTCGTCGCTCGCTCTCTCTCTCTCTCTCTCTCTCTCTCTCTCGCGCTCTGCCGGCGTTATGCGCTCTTGCCACTCGAGTGCCGCAATTAACGAGCCTTGGAAATGACGGCTTTTTTCCGCAAGTATCTTCGATTCCGGGAAGCTTTGAGAAGGTTGCCCAATGCCCGCGCCGGACTGTCGAGCACGCCGTCCGTCCGACGCTCCAAAGCGCTTTCGATCGATGCTCTCCTTTTGGCTCCACGATCACTCGACGAATGGCAAATTAATAAAGTATCCGCGAGAGCTAGGATAATTACGATAAAGGCGCACGATGCCGCGATGCAATCTCGCGCGGTTTTTGCCTCTTCGTGCCAAGTCTAAGTAAAGCGAAGCGGAGCTGCTGCTTTTGCTGCTGCTCTCGCCGCATCCGATCCACGCTCTAATAACAAGTAAAACAAAGCTATGGTCTTTGTTTGGCTACGCGCAAACTGGCCGAGCGAGCGAGTTTGGCCGGCTGCACGACTGTAAATACAGATTCACGAAATACGATAATTAAAATTACAATTCACGATTTAATAAGGTGCTTTGCTTACAGATATCGAAGCCGAGTGCCAAGATGACTATATGAAAATCCGCATCGGCTTTAATGGATCCTTCAACGGCTTGCTGTACTCGGCGGGTGAGTTCCAATTAAGCCTCAACTCGTAATTTGCTAGTTCTGGCTTATTATTCGCATTAGTTAGCTTTTCCAGCTTCGAATAGCTCCAAATTGTTTCAGCTTTAATGCTCGCGGAGCACGCGATTGTTCGCGAATGAAGCATTAAATTAGCGCGCACGGCCGCACCGCAACGCTTGCCGCCACAGCAGGTGCAAGGCTGAAAGTGAGGGCATGCATCGTCAAGATCGAAATCGGCAATCTCGCGGCGTGTCCCCGTCCGACGATAATGCGCGCGAGAGCCCATTGTCGCGATTGGCGGAGGGCCGATCGCAAATTGCGGATGATGCCCAGGCGGATAATGCGCGAGCGTTCGCTGCTCGCAGCTCGTTCGGGCTCTATGAATCATTGGTTTCGTCCGAACGCCGCAGAACGATCACGAATTCAATCCGATTGAGCGCTCGGATCTCAGCTCTCTCTCTCTCTCTCTCTCTCTCTCTCTCTCTCGTGCGCGCGGCCCGAGTCGATAATAAAAATAAATGGATCGATAATTCAGGGAATGCGCGCTCGAGCTCGAATAAATGAACGATTGCTCGGGCGCGATAGAGCTGCCTGCATCCCGGAAGGAACTCTGACCCGAGCAAGCGGAGTCGCGCTCACGCCTCTGCCGATCGATACGCGCAGCAGCTATCGCAAGCGCAAATGGAGCCCGCGATATTTAAATGTCGGCCTCGGCGAGGCCATTGTCCGCGGAGCCGAGATGACGGCCTGCTCGCGCTATCAGCAGCTGCCTCAGCCGAGAGCCAGAAATCTGCGATCGGACGATTGTATTGAAGAACGCCTCGATTTTCTTTTAATTGCAGGTTACTCCTACGATCCCGACTGCATGTACGTTAACGGCACGGGACGGGACTATTATGAATTCTTTATTCAGCTGAACCGATGCGGCACTCTCGGTGAGAACACGCATCATCAGGACAGTAGGAAGAATCCCACGGTTAGTAAAGAGCCGCGGCGCGACCGTCAATTATATGGATCGTTATCGAGAGTAACGTCCACGTTTTTTCGTCCCTCGTGTTAATATAGAAAAACCTCATGTGGAACACGGTGACTGTGCAATACAACCCTCTGATCGAAGAAGAATTTGACGAGCACTTCAAAGTGACCTGCGAATACGGCTACGACTTTTGGAAAACCGTCACATTTCCCTTTCTTGACGTCGAGTACGTATCAGCCGTTCGACTCGATTTCCAATCGCACGAACGCAAAATTGTCTTCGGAGGGGCTCGCGACAAGGTGCAATTGTCAATAATAACGATGACGTGATTGTTGAACGAATTACAGAGTTGCGACCGGCAATCCCGTAGTGTTTACGCTGCAGCCACCCGAGTGCTACATGGAGATAAGGTACGGCTACGGGACGACCGGTACAAGAGTAACCGGTCCAGTTCGAGTTGGAGATCCATTGACGCTAATTATTTACATGCGCAGTAAATACGGTACGCCTCGTTAAGCCTGCTCGACACCGAGCAGCTCTCTGTATCCTCGGATTTGTTCTCGTTCGTTAGCCGCTGACAAATGTTAGCCAGCAAATCAAATAAAAGTCCTTACTTTCGTTCGACGCAGACGGCTTCGACATCGTCGTTAACGACTGCTACGCGCACAACGGCGGCAACAAACGCATCCAGCTGATCGACGGCTACGGCTGCCCGGTGGACGACAAATTGATCAGCCGCTTCCGAGGCTCCTGGTCGGACGAGAACCTCTACGAGACCCAGGTGTTCGCCTACATGAAGACCTTCAGGTTCACCGGCTCGCCGGCACTCTACATCGAGTGCGACGTCCGGATGTGCCATGGCCGCTGCCCGGTAAGCTCGCGGCTCCGACGACGGCGCCTCGCCCCCACCCTCACTTATTTCCGCGGACCGGACCGCGGCTGTCTAATTAGCGAGCGCGTCAGTCACTAATGAGCTCCGCCATCGAAAAAATCCCAATTGCATTATCGCCGAGCATCGCCCGGACCGCTCATATTTACTCGTCTCCTATCAGATCCTTCAATTATCTTTCCGGTCGATCGGCGCGCTCACATTCAAACTTGTCATTTCAGAGTCAACCGTGTCACTGGAGGAACGCCAAGTCCGTGGCAAAGAGATCCGTGGACGCGATCGAAGGCCCATCAACGCCAGCAACGGCTTTATCGGAAAACGTGAATCTCTTCCAATCTCTTCGAGTCTTACAAGAGGGTGAAGCTGATACGGAACTCTTCCAGAATATTACGACGCCATCACGCAGCAGTAAGTCCCATTGCAATTAGCAGTCGATACTTTTGCACGGAGCCAAGCCACTCGTCTTGCTTTTCATTCGATGCAACTGACCAGCATTACAGCTGACGAAACCACTGACGAATCGTATCTTATCCACGACAGGTCTCAATGACGCCACCTCGGACCGAGTGTGTCTGCGAGCGACTGTCGTCAGTACGATTGTCGGCCTGGGCTGCGGTATTCTCTGCATAATGGCGGGCACAATGCTAGCCATGTGCTCTAGGATGCGACGAGTTGCACGTGAAAAGCTGCTCTCCGATAGCATCAGCTACATGACTCATAAAGGACGCATCAATTAGGACGACGTTGAAGAACCGTGCGACGAGCGAGGGTTCCTTGCCCCTCAACTTTTTCATCATCGCCATTTCTACGTCATCGGAACATAGAACTGTTACGTCGACTTTCTTCAATCGTACTCTCTATCGCCCGTTCTCGTATTTATGTAGTTTTGCGCCAAACTTAGCGAGAATTACAGGGAAACCCTATAGCAAAAATACTTATTTCTAACGCACGACAAATATCAACTCGATACAGGCCATTTTCTTTAAAAACAAGCGCTATATCTCATTGGATATACGTTCAAATGTTCAAGTCAAACGAAAAACGCGAGCCTTGCCGTTTCATTGCCTCAGCGATCGTTACAAATCAATCTCATATTTGTAAATAATTTGGCCCCTCAAATTACGTCATCTTCGAATATCTAAACGCAAGTATTATTAATCAACGCATGGCACAAAACATATTAGATTTGCATATAAAAGTAGAGAATAAGTTAGTTACTGAGAGATAACTTTCAGTCAAATAAATTATTTTTTAAGCTTTACGTACATACGTTTCGACCGGTTATGACCTAATTCGCCAATCGCGGTACACCGCTCTGTCACAGTGGCTCATAACTAATTCCATTTGTAAAAAATTGCTATGTACATAGTAATCTCCGAGGCTGTTTAAAACTAGAAATATGCAGCGACTAACTTCTTACGAGAAACTAACAAGTTTTGCTTTGCAATTACGATGATTATTTTATTTCTACAAATCGATAATCGGATTCCTATCTACGAAACTCAAGTAAATTAGAGGAAAAAAGAGCATAATAAAGTAAATTTTATTGCCAGAGCAAAAACTTATCGGAATGTTGAATCCGTTAAATTTGAAGCATCTACATTTCAAATGGAATATTAATAATAATATTTAAATATGGAACACGTAAAAAACTATTAATATTGAGTGAGGTTTGGTACATTTTATTAACCACAGATCTACTGAAACATTTTCATGAATTTTCGATCTATCTTGAAATAATTAAGAATTCATTGGTTAATGTCAAATGATAAATGCCAATTGAATCTTTATTTATCGACTAGTATCGATTGTTGTAATATTTTTCTCTAAATTGTATGATTTATTGATACATCTATTGTACTAGAATACTATAGATTTTCATCTTCGCCATAGCCAGATTCATTAATCCAATAAATACCACGAAAACAAAACAAAGAACAAATAAAAAAGCTATTGCATTAAATGTGCTAATCAACGCTAGTGAATCAAAGAATACATGTTAAAGTTTCCAAATATATTGAGTAATTATGTAACTTATTAATATGAATGAGTTCATAAAAATTTTGTACTTGAGGTGCAATTTTGGAAACACCGAGGTGCACAATCTGTGAGTGAACCTTATATTCTTATAAATTTATTCCATCGCTTAGTGAATTTGCAAGTTAATCACAGTCCGGAAACCCTTAAAAATTCGACTTTAGAAAAAAAATGAAATTAAAAATACATTTTTCAAATTACATTATCTCTTAATTAGTAGTTGTTTCGAAAAATTTGATGAGAATTATCGAAAAAACATACCTTAAATTATAAAAATATATATTCCTCACGATTTCTTTAGCCGCGGGTAGAAGTAGTTATGAGGTGTCAAAGAACGGTGTATCGCCAATTGGCTTTTTGTGCCGAAACGGGTTAATACGTATTATCTAAAAAATACATTAGACTGTGCAATACGAATTAAATTTATCAAAAATTAATTTATAACATATTTTTAGATTATATGTTAATGATAATCAACAAATGCGCGCAATGTATGTGTGCATAAATACACACTGACTATACTATTTAGACTGAGAAGAATTGCCTGTTAATATTCGATTATTAACGGAAATAAGCACTATATAAATTAGACACTGATTTAAAAAAATAATGCTTGTAGCCAACTTAAAAAATGAGGTAATATAATATTACTAATATTAAAAATCCAAAAAGTATATAGTAATTTATTTTCCATAAAAATTAAGCAGGCAATTTTTCAAGGGAATTGCAACACTTAACGATGCATTGTAAGTGCTATATTTAAAGTTGCAGTGCCTTATTTTTTAAATTATACTATGAATATTTGTAGAATAATGTCGTAGCACTTGCCTTAAGAATTATCATTATCATTAATTATTGGTATTATTCAGCATCTTCAGGAGCGCCACTTGTTTTATATTTATCCTCGTTTCGAAATTTAATTGGAAATATTCTTGTTCAGCCATGGATAGAACAGTCAATTTTCAAATATTGCGGATGGAAGACATTCATATAATTAGAAAATATGTAGATTATATACTCGCATTCTTACAAAAAATTGTTAGACTCATAAGAATTGTCCAAATGTAAGCACCAAAATGAGACTTAGAACGAATTTTTGGCATGTTAATATTTCAAAACAGAATTGTAAATGTCTTATTTGATTGAAACAATTGAATCAGAACCATATACATCATTTTTATTTTCTTTGTAACAATTAATTGTCGCATATTTTCGAATAAAAATTTTGTAAGAAGTGATTAGACAAATGATTTTTGTTTGTCACAAATTAATAAAATTACGATTTTTATCGCGCAAAGGCTATAATCTTTCTGTCAAGGCATCATATTATTCGTGAGATACTCTTGTGCGGTGCTTCTGAACGTCCGTGAATAATAATAAACTACTATAAATAATTTCAATCGTTAAGATAGGTTACAAATTCATGTATAACAAATTAACAATTAACCAATAGAATCTATTTTTCATTTACATACTAAAATTAAAATTATAGGTACGGTCAGTGAGGATTAAGTAATATTTATAGTGCGATCAATCATTGATTAATACAGTATTAAAATTCCATTTAAAATGTTTATAAAGGTTTCAATGAAATTTTGAAAAAAGCATTAAAATGTTGAAAAAAATACCAATTTCCTAAAATACAATATTCTACGCACGTAGTATTAATTTCCCCTCCTGATCGTGCGTCAATTTCACTTATTCTTAAGATTTCGATAGAGTATAAGAAACTTGGGTCACGATATATTAATATCCTGATATTGGATAAAACATGTGTAAATAAAATGTATGATGATTAGCGATAGTATTATAAAAAGTCAATTGTATCGAGGTCTTAAATAAATATTTTGAAAGCCCAATTTCTGTATAGTCTTGATTTAATATCTTAATTTTTACAATCTTAATTTAATCTTTATTATTAAAAAATTGCACTTCTAAGATTTTCTTAACGAAAAAATTTATTTCTTAACTAGAGCTTCCTATCTTTCATCTCTTTGAAAAGAAATCATTGTTTTGGTAATTTAAAAAATAAAGTCTTATTATTGCTCCAATTTTTTTATATTGCATGATTATTTGCTTAACTTTTGTTCTGCTATTGCATTTAAATTCATTGCATTTAAGTTTAACAGTTATGTTGATATATTATTCTTATTTGAATTAATTTTGAATCAAATTTCCTTGTTTTGTTATTATTGAGAACATAGTTTTTCATGTAATTATCTTCATGTGAGTTAACAAATGACATTTGCAAGTTTTGGATACAATTATCTATTGATATATCGCCATTCCATTTTGAATATGACACGATTTTTTTAATAAAAAAGTTATTTAACTCTTAGTGATTTCATACTGTGTGTTTCAACTGTTGCTCTCTTAAAGTGGAAGTTTTTATCGAAAAAGCATAGATCGCTTAAACCTGGCGAATTCATGTAATCGCTTTGTTTTTGAAAACCTAAAGAAATTGGTGAAGGATAAAACAGAAGTCTGTACCGATACGTTTCAATTTAAAAAAATTCGAAATCCGCCATCGCAAACTTAGGTAACTACCATACGGTTAAGTATGAATGAAGTGACGAACTTCTCTACAGTCGGTAAATAAGTTTTTTATGTGTAATCCTTTCTTTATCCATACAAGCGATGAGCTTGGGTGCGTTTGGTGCTATATGACGCGCGTACGTGAAAAGAAAATGCAATATTAACAATAAGTAAATGCTTTTACTGCTCACATGAATGGATAAAGGACCTCGCGCATACTGCTACCAAGAAAAATTTATCATAAGTTCTATTCAATGGGAGAATTTGTATAGGTATTGGTATATTTTTAATTAGTTTCTCAATTCTCATTCATTTATCAATCTTTTTATCATAGTAATTCTTTTTGTCAATTTAAAATATTGATCTCAAGCTGAAACTGAAACATATCAGTATTTGTATAGTTAGAAACTTTTCTAATATCTGGAGTCGTAACTTTACCAGCATTTTAGATTTAAAAAAAATATGGAAATATACAAATTTAGTTATGTAATTCAGTAAATACATCGATAGGCACATGTGTTAAAAAAATAAAATTACAAGTATACTCATAAAATAATATACAGATGTATATTGAAAATACAATAGAATTAATTTTCACTATAGAATGTTGTACGTACAAACATTTTGTAGTTAATCTCTATATGTATGTCTATTAATTTATTTAAAAAATTTTTCGCAAGCAAATATTAACTGTAAATGCTTACTGAATTCCAAACTAAAATAAATTTCTAGAAAATATTTGTAATGTAGATTAGGAATAAATGAAATACGTTATGTATAATTTGAATATATTATTTTAAATATACAAAATGAAAGTACATACAAACTATAAAACTTAAGATTCGATGTTTGAGGAAGAAGTTACTAGGAAATGAAGACGAGAATAATGAAAGATTCAGTAGGAGATATTTTTGGAATTTAATTTTTGCTCTTGTAATACATAATTCTGGTTTTGGACGCAGAGTACATGAATCACAGATTTCGAAAAAAAGTTGAGTCTTAATAATTTATTCTTTAATTAGATTCAACTAGAGCGGATTTCATCCACGGAAATGCAGTATCGTAAAAATCGACTTCCTTACTGATTGACACGTGAACTTGAATGACGCTTAGAGTAACGTGGTATACTTTGTTCAACTTGTAAATGCGATTTGCTTAGTTATTTTGGAAGAAAAAACTGCCGATAAGATTTATCTGATACATAAGGTTGCAGTGTAAACTTAGAAAACTATGGATTAAAAGATAAACTTTTTACAATAATAACTTAAACTGTAGAATTATTGATGACTGCTTCTGTCACAATTAGCTAATAACACACTTGGTTTATAAAGTACATGAGTAAATACACGTATTATCGAACTAATAGGGTGAGTGTGCTAAGAACGATGAGATATATTGCAGTATCCGATGAAGATAAAAGTGGTGGGACGTGGCAATGTTGAGAAGGTTGAGGAAATTGAGGATTCGGAATGTAAGCTGCACGCGAATGAATGATCTTAGATCGAAGGCGAGAAAGCATGACTCGAGGTATGGTTTAGTATCGAATGTCAATACTATTCTACGTGAAAGTATAGAGGCGTCTGAAAGTGCTCTACGCGAGAAGAGAAACCAATGCGGGTAGGTACATAGACGTTCGATATAATGCGATGTATAATGATAAAAACACGATAGTAATATTGAAGAGGAATGAACGTTCGCGCAATGTTGATAAGCTCTGAAAAGTCCGTGTGATCGCTGAAGCGATGCGAGTGAAGGTGTGGACCGACGAGTGACAGGGATAGGCAGCGAGAGCGAGGAGGCCACGGCCGATCGGCGGCGGCGGTCGTTCACGAGGAGGCGAGCAGCTTGGCGGCCGCGGTCACGTGGTGCTGGTGGTGGTAGGGCGCCTCCTGGGCCGCGTAGTAGTTGGCCTGCTGGTGCTCGCTCGAGGGCACGGCCAGCTGGTGCGGGTGCTGGTAGTAGCCCGAGTAGGGCTGGCTCACGACGCCGCCGTCGCAGCTGCGCGGCTCCGTCTTGACCGTCGCGATGCCGCTGCTGGACGCGCCGGCGCCGGGCGCCGCGACCGCCGCGGCCACCGCGGCCGCGCTCGGCGGCAGCAGCGACGTGTGCCCCAAGTAGACCGGGCGCTCCGCCGACGAGGAGCCCGAGCTCGCGGACGACGGCTTGACGTCTAGCTGGTGCTGCTGCTGCTGCTGCTGCTGCTGCTGCGGGTGCTGGCCGTGCGACTGCTGGTGGCTGGCCTTCAGCTCTGCAACGAGGAAGCGAGGCGTCAGGCTTGCGAGCGCGCGCGCGCTCGGGAGATGCGCGGATGGGCTCACCGTGGGCGGGCGACGAAGCGGCGGGCGCGCCGCCGTCGTGGTCCTGGGCGGACTGCCTGGCGCCGGACTCGGGCGTCTTCTTCGGCTTGCGCTTGCGAGTCTGTATGCCGTCCTTGCGCATGGCGAGCGGCCGATTGATGCCGTGCAGCTTGAAGTAGAGGCCGCAGGCGTTGCAGACGGGCTCGCCCTCGTTGTTGCGCCTCCAGAGGGTGGTGGCGCGCGTGCCGCAGTTCGTGCAGCACAGTCCCAGCCGCCTCGTCGCCGTCTGGAATTCGGAGATCTGTCCCATTTGCTTATCGTACAACGACAATTAATGCTGCATACTCTTGGTACGATTTGGGTACGACTAGGTTGCGAGTACGTGTGTTATGCGAGCGCCCAGCAAGCCACCGCGAGCCGCTCTACCTGTTATATCGCTACTCATTTTTCATGCGACTACTCTCGCTCTCTAGGTTGTCGGCCGTTATCGCTGCGCGCTAGCTGGCTCTCGCGGCATTTTATCGACTCGATCGGTGATTAGAATTTCAACGCGGCCACGTTTGCGCATGCAGTCGGCGATTTTCATTGGCAAATGCCTGGCAGATAAGCAAGCGTATTAGCTAGCTTAATGAAGTCATAAACAACTTACGAGGCGCTTTGTTGGCTTGATCAGAGGACGATTCATGCCGTTGATTTTGTGGTAGAGTCCGCAAGCGTTGCACAGGTAGTGACCTGTGCCGTCTCGTCGCCAGAGCGGCGTCGAAATGGCCCCGCAATTCACGCATTCTCGGCCCTCGCTGAACTGGAAGTCCATAGCCGTGTCTGAAACAAAGCATTTCGCGTAAGCTCCTTTGTAAGCTATTGCTCCACCAATTTCCAGAGAAACAAAGCAGATTAGACGTCTCATTAATACGCCTCAGTGCCAGTTCAACTGTTCGGAAAAGAACGTTGTCCAATTTCTAAGCGTATAATTTCGTTGCTCCCGCTGAGCATGATTTACACCGCAGACAATTTACGTATACCTTGAAGGCACGTATATGTTTTATTGTTATTGTTTTTTGTCTTTGTTATTTTTCTTCGAGTATTTCGTCTTTTTCAATGCACCGGGGAAAAATTCTGGGATTAGAACGCACAGCCCGGAGGATCATGCGACGGCAAATGCTATGGTGTCGCGTGTGTCAGTCAACAGACTGCTGTGAATCATGTTTGCCAGACAATTGCAAAAAATGCAAAAACAAATGATCGTATGAGAAAGTTCAATTAGACCTTCGTCACGGATAATTGCTTTCTACAACCCAACGAAAGATTTAAGTGAGCGATCGTAATTTATGTCAAGCGCGTAAAGTCTGCAATTAATTAAAATGCAACGCACGCGTTGCTGAATATGTAAACAACGCTTTATCATAGCCAATAATTTTTTTAAGTTAGCTTTTATTTATTGTTATTTATGACCTGCCTTTGCGGATTTGCAATGGCTAGCGTAGTCGCGTCGAATTAATTTTTTAATACACTTGCACTACATATTCTTTAATTCTAGGAAAAAGAATACATGGTATTTTTCGTAATGCAAGAATCCAACGTTAATTAGTACCGGTTTTAGCAGATACCTATTGCCAATTCTCTCATGCAAAGAATAAATATAATAATACGCATATTCATGTGAATGGACGTGCGTCACGTTTGCTTGGATGTATCGATTTTATTCATCATTCTATAATTAATCTTTGACGTTAGTGTCCGAATGCGAAGGGTAAACCGTAAAACCTCGGAGGGATTCGATAGCGAGAGTTCATTTATACGTTAGGTGCTTCTGTAGGAAGAGAAAGAAAGAAATAAAAAGGAAATTGAAGAGAGGACGATGATCTATGGGATCCAGTCGAGTGCTTTTAAGATCGAGGCGCCTTTGTGCCGCTTAGAACCATCCAGACGCGTCTGCGCTTTATCTTTTGCACGCCGTCGTTCTCGGGGCACCAAAAGCGAATCCCTAATCCACGTGCACGCCATGCCGGCGGAATCTCGATATTCATGATTATTATTCCGCGCCGATGCCACCGAACACACCTCCTCAACTGGCATGAGCTTAGAAATTTCACAAAATGGAACTGATCCCGTCGTTGCTCGCGTTCATCTCTTACTCGTAGCTCGATCTTGATTGGTTGGCGCGGAGAGAGAAGTAAATAGATGGTATCTGTACTCAGTAGCAATATGAATAAATTGAAACAAACGCGATAAAGTTGTAAAGACGATACTATGAGAAGGCAAGTAAAAAGCAGCTCAATAAAACTATACGACCCGATGGATCGTCAGCAGGAAAAAGCAGATTCAGAATGAAGGAAGGAAAAAAGGCAAGAAGCAAAGGCAGATATATAAATGAGCGGGACAGACAGAGAAAGAGCTACGCGAACGGGAGAAGGGGAGATATGTGATGGCTTGTAATGACGCCAGAAGAGGAGAAACACTTGACCAGAGATTCGACGGGACTCCTCTTCAAAGAAGAGCCGCTATCACTCGTTCCATGCACATGGCCCGCGTGCAGCGCCAGGGATTCATTGCTTCTAGAGAAATTTCTCCTTTCCCGACTCCCCTTTCTCCTGCTTCTACGCTCTAATTCAATGCATCGTCTTTTTTCCTATTTTTTTCTCTCTCAATTTTTTCCTCTATGTTCCGGCCCTAGAACTGCGATAGCGTGCCTCGCTCATTTACTTCTCGTCTGTTCCATGCGCGGGCTATGCTACTACTACTACTTCTCAACTGGAAACTTAACTTTCCAAAATTATTTCTTTAGCAAGCTCGTTGTCAAATATAAACAAGGAACGATAGTAAATCTGAATATAAGTTAATATAAAATGCATCGGTGATTGTCCAGCTAATCCATCGATCATTATTTATCGCTACAATTCAACTTTATCATGCGTTATCTATTCATTTGAATAATCTTAGCATTACAAACAATTGTGTGCTTCGCTTACCACATTTTCAGTAACGAATAAACGTCAGGGATGACAATATCAAGTATAACGCACGATTGAAAGTATTATCATTATTCTTGCTCTTCTCGTTACATTTTCTCACTTTATCGCACACTATATATTTTGTCGTATTATTTGGGATAAAACTCATTTCCTGCACTCTGTTGGATTTGAATTTTAAACGAAACATTCTTTCGTTCGCATTGCCTTTAATTATATCAACTATAGTTTGACAAGTTCTTCAAATTTTCCCGTACTCTTCTCCAATGGTCACGAAAATCATAACTTTTTGTCATTAGCTCAATAATTTACTGGTAATTCGTAATTTTCAACTGGTGCGAAAAATCTTTGGCGAACCGTAAAGTTTATGAGCCGTCGGCTCATGTTATCAAAAAGCGTTCTCGTATCGCTTAGAATTTATATTTTTCCTCTTGTTCTCTTATTTTCGTTAGAGCAGAAAAAAACATCAATGGTAAATGCTTTTAAATTAACATTTACTAGATTTCATAAACTCATAAGTAAAAAACGTATAGATCAAAATAGCCGCGAAAATATTTTGAATCTTGCTTGCTCGTCGCGTTAATATAAGCTGCATGATTATTGCAATTTAAATTGCAAATATCAGTGTAAGCAGCTTAACGTAAGCAGCCCTATTATACAGAAACGTGTATAAACATTTTGATGTTCTACAGAACAGGAAAGGCTATGGATATGATCTAACGCATATTGTATGATATAATAGTAACTAAAATTACCGTATGGAGACGCCCGTTGAAAGCCAGCACTGTCGTAGACTCGCCAGGACGACATCATCGCAGCGTTCTGGGCGTAGAAGGGCGACGCAGCAGCGGCAGCGAGGCTCGCGTGTGGATGGGCAGTGTGCGGGTGCCCGGCATGCGGGTGTGTGTGACCCGTGTGGGGTCCCATGCCTCCCGTCGAACTGCCTGTGTGACTAGCCAAGGCATGGTGTGCGTAAGTATCTACGCTATGTTGCCACGATGCCGACTTCTCCCTGAATCATGCCAAAATCCGAAACACTTGGGTATTGTTCAAACGGTGTAAAAATTGGTTTATAAATAGCCAGGTGCGTTGAAATCAGAAATCAAAATAATTCGTACATAAATTTTACTAAAATTTATTTGCAATAGCTTTATAGTCTTTTATCATGCTCGTGTCTTATCTTAAAATTATTTCATTTACATAGTATTACCCTAAGATGACACAAAAATCACCAGATGTCATTTAGAAACTCCGTCCAGATTAGCTATGATTCAGCAAAAAAACATTTAAGCGTGCTGATTATAATGTGATCAGCAATGAAATTATGGCTATACATTTTAATAGGATAAAGCTAACTTAACCCAATCCTATATCAAATTTCCCAAATACAAACACACCTTTTATAAATACTATCACACAATATTGCACTGTCGATAACTGGTATTTTCTAGACCTTCCACCAAGCCTAATATTTTTTCAGCTGTAAAAGTTTTAATATGAGCGCTTATAACAATGTTAATAATATTAATTCCATTCAAAAAATGTCAAATAAATGTTGAAGAACCTGTTGCTTGATAATGAGTGGTAAAATGGAATGTGGTTTTGTAAAAATGATTCCAAATTTTTATTTTAAACTGAATTTGTTATTTCACGCTAAAAGATGATTCAGCAGCACTATCTTTGTGGTTAGATAAGTAGCACACATGGAATATTTTTAGATTGTCGATTTAATATCGACCGATTGTAGTATTTTTTTTTTTTTTTGCTCTAACTTTATTTATGACGGGAATATTTGTCTCCCTGTGTTTTTTAACATTGAAATAACATTTCTCTAATACCAACTACGTATATCAACAGCACAAAATTATGAATGCTAAAATTTCAAGGTGGAATGATAAGATTATAAAAATTGTCCGTTTCTTTTGTTAAATGCCTAATAACAGAGATAACAATCATTTTATAAAAATCAATCGATATCATAATAAATTAATGTTAATTGGAGTATTTACTTTCAGATCATACTCATCTAACGAATGAAGCTACATGAACATACAGTGTAAGTTGGCCAAGAAAAACTCAAGGAAAAAATATTACTAAATAAAACAATGTTTGTTTTCGATAAATTGTTTCACGCTCAATAATATTCTATATATAAGTGAGGAATAAAGTCTAATGTATGCACAGTATGTCAAATCTTGTTCGTAATATTTCTTCATAAAAACAATTCATTTTCAAAAAAGTGACATTAAATAATCAACATTAAATCTTGAAAGGTGATTATTGATGTGCATTATCAATTGATAAACTTGATACTAATTGTCCCAAACATTACAATACTACTGATGTCTAGCGTGCTCATCTTTCTTATATTTTTTGCATTATTTTTAATGCTACAATATAGACCAACGCTTTCGTTGGCGAAATTGAAAATTCGAAAAAACAATAACATAAAATATTTCCATGATTTGATGTAAGATATAACAGATGATATTATTTATTGGTAAATCAATAAGCAGCTACGTTGATACTCATGATTTTAAACTATTATAAATGAAGTTTTAAGTTTTTATTATCGCAAGTTAATATGATTACATGAATCAATTCATAGTAAATCCATGTCACCTATACCGATACACTTTTCGAGCATTTAATTATCTACGAAAATTTGCAGTAATCTTTCATGAGCGTATACAACATATGTATGTACTATCTATTAACAGATGATCGCGTCACTATCTTTCAGCCAATCAGATCACGAATAAATTGGCTTTAATTTGTCAGGTTCTCTTTTTTATGAGAGAAAAAGGAGGAAAGTTCAAGATAAGTAACGGATTCCAGGATGAGTTTAAAATGTGCACCATTCAATAAATTTCGACAATTTTATTGGCTGTTAATCAATTGGTACCAAATGTAATAACTAAAATGTTGAAGGACTAAGCTTTGCTTACTATTGTAATAATTGAATTGATGTCATATGGTGCAAATGATATCCCTATACTTAAAGAAAACCACAATGAACATCATGTAATTAGAAATAAGCAGATAAGTAGTAAATTTAGTGAGAAAATTTGTCATAACGAGTCGATTTATAGGCAATTGGTTGAATGAAGCGCATTATGATTTGCGAGAGTAAAGAGCTAGGTCAATAATACGTGTATGTGTGTGTGTGTGCTTGCAGAGGAAAATATCTTACCAAGCCGGCGAAGCGGAAGTGGGAAAAGAGTGATACTGCGCAGCCGTGGTCGAGGAAGGTATTGCAGGCCTCGAGGAGGGCACATAGACAGGAGACTGAAGCTGCTGGGTGTGCTGTTGCTGTTGCTGCTGCTGAGCCTGTTGCGTCTGTTGCTGGTAGTCGGAACTTGCGCCGTAGCCGCCGCTTCCGCTCCCGTGGAACATTATCCCTCGGCGATAACTACCGTCGCATCATTTGCTGAAAACAATATATCGTCAAGTTTTTACGGGCTTTGAACGAAACCATTTGACTGCAACGAGAGCGACTGATTTGTCGTTTGTCATCGAGCAGCCGATCGGGGCACGAGGGGACAGCAAGTGCAAAGCCAAGGCAGAGCCTCGTCGCAGCACAGATTGTTCGCAATCAGTTGGACAAGCCAGACAAAAGCTCTTACAGGCCGTTGGCATGGATAGGTAGAGGGACGACAGGGCACGAGCAGACAAAGACACTCTGGAGCATGCACGAGGACGAGCAAAGGTATGCACGCGAGCTGCGCGGAGAGAGAGCGAGAGAGCGAGAGAGAGAGAGAGAGAGAGAGAGAGAGAGAGAGAGAGAGAGAGAGACGCCCACAAGCGCGAGTCGAAGGACGGCCCAGCGCGGGATTCGGATCCGCCATGGTGCCCCGGCGGATTTCTTCGGCGTTTCCACCTCCTCGGCGCGGGCAGCGGCCGAGGCCAGCGCGCCGCCATCCAATCCAGAGAAAAGAAGAGCACGAGAGGCAGAGCGAGAGAGTTATTTACTGCAGCCGCGCTCGGAATGGGAAGCGGCGACGGCGACGGAGTCGGCCCGAGAGCAAGGATAATGACGCGATAAGGGGCAGGGGCCGAGGGCGCAGACGCGCTTCCACCTCCGCGCCGGCCGATAGCAGCCATCACGCGGCGCTTTCGCGTGGGCGGGACTTGCGCCGAAGCTCTCTCTCCTCCGCGTGTGGCGCGCCGCTGCCAGCCCGTGCAAATCGCGCTCGCTCGAGCAGCGAGTTCGCTTGACTGCGAGCCGCGGCGCGCCGAGCGATTTTGGCAAAGGCAAAAAAACCCGCATTCGCATTTACTCTCTTGCTCGCTCGGTAAGAATTGCCTCTTCTTCCTCTTATAGAGAACTGGAGGCTCGACCAATGGCTGTTTTACCTTTGTATACATATATGATACACCCGATACACTTCGTCAGATTATTTTTCTCTTTCTTTTTTTCGTGTTCCTCTCTGGCGCACGTACTAATTCTTCTGCTCCTTTCGCTGTGGAATTCCGAGAAGTTTTTATCGGCAAGAAGTTTTAAGCTCTGCCACCTATCAGTGGAAGTTGCAGAGACAATTTGTTTCTCGTGTTGACACTATATCCTCGAAGATTGCTTGGCAAGCTGCTTATAGGAATAAGTGCGTTTATTTAGAGTAAAAACAGTCGCATCAATTTTTATTTTGAATGTACTTTTGTAATAAATCAATATTGAAATTGGTTAGTCAAGAGTTATATGTCTGAATGTCATAACAAATATCTCTGCAGTTTTTAAATTGTACAATTGCTTATAGCTCATCTGATAAAAATAACACATGCATTGATTCTCATTTGGAAACTACCGTTTGTGGATGTCACTTCCGCTTCTATGGATAAAATTCATCGTACGTGGTGATCATGAAAAATAATGCCATCGTTCAAATGCATAAAAGCCCATTTGTAATATCAGATATATCCTTCTATTAGAATCAAAGTTCTGTGAATTCTCATTGCACACGCATAATCAATTTTATTTTATATTCATTCTTATGACTACTTTCTAAATAAATGCATATTGTTCACAATAATTTTCTGCAAGTATACGTAAGTTTTTAAGACACGTATTACAACATATTTTTCTTTCATCAATCAAAATTTTAGTTATGAATTACACGTACTATACATTTACATTCAGCCTATGACATGAAAGCTTATGAAATATTTTCCGAAAGTCCTTGTCACAAAACAAATTACTGATTTATAATTTTAGAAAGATATTTTAGTTTCAGAGCATTATCTAAAATATGTTCAAATTCCAAGGATTTGTTGTAGGTTGATAAAAAGTAGTATCTCTTGTTTTATTTTCCTCGTAGAAAAAAAATCCTATTTTAAGTTGTGTTCTATTTCATTTATTTTCTTAGTCAGAAAAATTATGTATTTTTCTGTAAGTGAACGGGAACTTAATTTATAAACAAAATACTCGATAAGACACAATTTTCTTTTATTTTAAATTTACAACATATCAAATTTACGTATTTACTTTTATATTTTCTGAAAAAAATTAAGACAAGTTTCAACGGAAGCTCAAATGAAAGTTACTTGTCCATGAATTGCTCGTCAAAATATGAAAAAAAGTTTTGGAAAACATAAAAAATAGTTATTATCATTTCAAAAAGTTCTTAGCAATATTAAAAAATTTTTAGCGTTGACAAGATATTTTATTATTTTTTCTATTTTTGTCTTGTTTTTAATAGATACATCGTGCATAAGAAAGCTAAATGATCTACTTATAAGATTTTTCTTCATAAAGTAAATATATACATGTAACTCAAAATGTTAGAATCCTTTTATAATTTAAATAAGAATTAAAAAGTATATGGCGAAGCATAATATCTGTATAACTTGCGATAATTGTGCTGAATTAAGCGACGGATACTACTTAAGAAGTCCTAAGAAATTCTTATTTTTAATGTTGATTTCCAAGGAAAAACAAATTTTTTTGATAACTAATACCGAAATATAACTTCTATTTTCGTCGTAAGATTTTTTTAGACACAGTCAATTTAAAATTTCAAGAACGTCTTCTTGAAAAAAAGTTATTTTTCACAATGCTCATCCGTAGGAAGCACTGTAAACTTGTTTAAATAAGAATATCGTCTGCATTAGTGTGAAAACTTCTCGTGATTCCAGCCGTCGCTGAGGCGAGTTTTGTGGTGTCCTCGTAGTTCTGCAAATGTGGCATTTATATTTGTACTCAGGTGGCGTCCTGCCGACGGTACCCACGAGTAGCTGCGTTATCACTTACTGAATACATAAACTGCATCTTTATATGTATATATATGTTTACTTATACTTTGAAACGTTGAATACGAGAATTTTCCGAAGAGATAGGGTATCGAAAAATATTCATTATTCAGCTGTAACCTATTGAGAAGCATTTAAAATATTGAGATCGATAAAAGCTCGGAATTTTCATTAAGGGAAAATATGTAACAGCTGTTAACTTATATTTTTCAACAGTAATTTTAAGTATTACAATACTATAAAAAACTTCATAAATTTGAAACATTCTTAAAAGATGTGTTTTTAATTGAGAACATTTCCTTTACTTTGAAAAAGGAAAATTCTTATTTTAAATTATATTCTTAATTTATGATTAATTAATTAAAGTATGCAGCAAATTTAATAACTTTTAATAGTATAATGGATAGTTGTTTAGATCTACTAATAACCGCATTCTAAACTAAGGCTCATACTTTTATTATATTTAAGTATTTGTTTAAAAGGGTATGCTCGAAGCTTAGCTTTGCACGTATCTTTGGTGTATATTAACTGCGTAAATAAGCCGATTCACGTCCTCTAACCTGCAAAAAAATCGTAGGTTTCTAGTTCGCCTACGACGTGCTTTAAGGATACGTTAGACCCTCTGCCACTATCTATCTACGCACATAACTACCCTCGATTCGTGCTCCATCAACATTATGGGTCAGATATTCAATGCTCAAATCTACGATCCGAATTTTGAATGTCATTGAGATCAGTAATTATGACAAACTTATAGCTTATATAAATAAAGTAAATGCAAAGTCTAAATAAAATCAACAATTTTTATATCTGACGATCGAAAGATTTGTGTGGTTTGTGTGCCGACGGTGGAGGAAACTGATGTGATGTGGCTTGGTGGTTGGGGGTCATCAAAAGTGGCCTAAAGCTATGTCGACCAATCATCGTACAATAAGAAAGATCTAAAAAAGAAAAGTAACAAATGCAATATATGAAGCGAAAAAATACTAACTCGCGAATAAAGTATATACATCTAAAACTTTGGAACAATGTAATGGTATAAATCACAATCCAATCGTATCAATTTTAAATAATGCACATATTGAAGTTGATTTACCAGCATTCGATAACGATGACTATTTTCATTATTATATATATACTAACTTCCACTCAAAATACTACATACGAATCTCAAACTCCAAAACGCCAAAAACAATCAAGCAAAAATAATCCTAAGATAAATTGCAAGAGAAAAATATTACTTTTCATCAAGTGAGTGACAAGTGATATTTTTGTTTTGTAATATATATCTTTGTGAAAATGAATCAACAGCAGAATCTGTTCTTTTTGCATTGATTATATTGTGTTAACGTTACATCGGTTGTCCTACCAGCGGCTATGTTAAATTGACTAAAATTTGATATTAAAACTACTTTGAAAACTTTGTTTCAATTATATCATTATTGAACAACTTAATTGTTATTGAACCAAGCAAACATTAAAATTAATTTTAATATCAACAGTAGGGTAAATATGAATCGTTCAATGTCGGTCATCAAATAATCAATTGTACTCATCGAATAATAATAATTCAAGTTCAGTAATTGAATCCTCGGCCTTCCTTTGTCTGTCTTTTTTAATTATGTATCTTATACAATCCAAGCTATAAAGATATGCATTTCAGCAGACCAACTGTTGTTCATTTAACTATATTTTGTCCTCAATGCATGACATGGTGTTTTGCACCGAGGCATTTGTACTTTGGATTAAAAATTACAAAAAGTGCTGCACATTTTATTATGGTCATGCCTCTATCATAAAAATTATGTACGTTTTGCAACTATTCGTTTGAAAAGAAAGCATAACATATGCCAAAAAATGCGACGCGTAACAATTTACTACGTAGGAAAACAAAGACTTAGCTAGTAGCAACGAATAGAATTTCTATTCGTTGCTAGTACTAAAGAAGCTCGAAAAACATGTAAAACTCAGTTATTGAAACAGAATAAGTATTATAATGAAACAGAATAGCTGATATACGGCATTGGAATCACAGATTAGAAGAAAAATTACAAGTAATACAACTTAGAAACTTTGATCGTGTTTTTCTCAATATTTGATGATTTTGCAGCCATAGTAATCTATTTTATTGTAAATATCAAAGTATAATACATGTTTAATATATAGTTCAAATTAAGGAAAGATCTG